AAAAAAAAAAAAAAAAAGCAAAAATTAGGCAGGCATGGTGGCAGGCACCTGTAATCCCAGCTACTCATGAGGTTGAGGCAGGAGAATCACTTGAACTCGGGAGGTGGAGGTTACAGTGAGCCGAGATCATGCCATTGCACTCCAGCCTGGGGGACAAGAGTGAGACTTTGTCTCAAACAAACAAACAAAAAACAAAAATTTTTTAAAAAATTAAAAAAAAATTCAATCAGAAGACAGATGGATAAATAGACAGAAAAAAAGAAGTATAGGCCAGGCGCTGTGGCTCATACTTGTAATCCCAGCACTTTGGGGGGCTGAGGCAGGCAGATCACAAGGTCAGGAGTTCAAGATCAGCCTGACCAGTATGGTGCAACCCCATCTCAACTAAAAATACAAAAATTAGCTGAGCATGGTGGCACATGCCTGTAATGCCAGCTACTCACTCAGGAGGCCGAGGCAGGAGAATTGCTTGAACCTAGAAGGCTGAAGTTGCAGTAAGCTGAGATCACACTATTGCACTCCAGCCTGGACAATAGAGCGAGACTCTGTCTCAAAAAAAAAAAAGAAGTATAGAACATGGAAATCAGTTCTAAGTTCTAAGGAGTTGGTTAGAGAAACTTAAGAAAAAAATTCCTAGGCCAAGGCCATACAGGGAAAGACCCTCAGGGAGTCATGTAGACAGACTCTGGGAGTTCTGGGACCTCAGGCCAGCAAGGAGGTGAGAAGGGGGAAAAGATTAAGGAAGGCAGATAAATGGGCTGGAAGCTGGACCCAGAACCCCCTAACGAGAGAGAAGAAAACAGGCATCAGGTAGAATGATAGGTCAGTTAATTTTGCTAAAATCCAGACTGGAAACATGGCTTCAGCAGCAAAACTAAAGAACCCAAAGCTCTTGTTGTGGGTGCCTGGCATAGCATTCAACATCCCCACCTGGGTGCAGATGTACTTCCCTTAACATCTAACCCCTGCTGTTCCATGCCCCACCTTGGCCCTGGCTCTGGCTCCCACCCCTGCCTTGACCTAGCTCCTAGACTTATCCCAGGCTGTGTCAAGTGCCTGCCTGAAGCACAGGGACCCTGACTGCAGGCTCCTAGGCAGCTATAGGAAAGAAAGCAAAAGGGAAAAAAGGCACATGTCATCCAAGCACACCACAAATACCAGTCTAAATCCCACATAGAAGAATCTGTTCTCTGCTGGGGCTTCTCTCAAACTTAATTCCCTAGCTTCTCTTCACTCTGACTCAAGATTTCCAAGGAAGAAGGAAAAAGCCCTGGGGAAATGCCCCATTCCAGGCAGGAGCCATATCTCATAGCTACATCCATGCTAAGAAAGCAGGTCTACAACAGGATGTGATGGCTCACGCCTGTAATCACAGCACTTTGAGAGGCCAAGGCGGGCAGATCACAAGGTCAGGAGATCAAGACCATCCTGGCTAACATGGTGAAACCCCATCCCTAGTAAAAATACAATAAATTAGCCAGATGTGGTGTCACGTGCCTGTAGTCCCAGCTACTGTACTAGGGAGGCTGAGGCAGGAGAATCACTTGAACCTGGGAGGCGGAGTTTGTAGTGAGCCAAGATTGCACAACTGTGCTCCAGCCTGGGCTATAGAGTGAGACTCCATCTCAAAAAAAAAAAAAAAGAAAAAAGAAAGAACGCAGGTCTACACTCCCAGACTCCCTTCAGCTAAAAAGGTCTACACCAGGAGTCAGTCAATTATCAACGTTTTTTTAACAGCCCTTGAGTTAAGAACTACATTTTATATTTTGAAGTTGTTACTTATTAAAAGGTTGAGTATAGCTGGGCGCTGTGGCTCAAGCCTGTAATCCCAGCACTTTGGGAGGCCGAGGCGGGTGGATCACGAGGTCAAGAGATCAAGACCATCCTGGTCAACATGGTGAAACCCCGTCTCTACTAAAAATACAAAAAATTAGCTGGGCATGGTGGTGCGTGCCTGTAATCCCAGCTACTCAGGAGGCTGAGGCAGGAGAATTGCCTGAACCCAGGAGGCGGAGGTTGCAGTGAGCCGAGATCGCGCCATTGCACTCCAGCCTGGGTAACATGAGTGAAACTTCGTCTCAAAAAAAAAAAAAAAAAAAAGTTGAGTATATAATCACCTCCATCTGTAATTTGTCTAATAGAATCAAAAGTATTAACCATCTTGTTTTTTTAACTTTTTTAACTTTTTTTTTATATGGAGTCTTGCTTTATTGCCCATGCTGGAGTACGGTGGAACGGTCTTTGCTCACTGCAACCTCTGCCTCCTAGGCTCAAGCAATTCTCCTGCCTCAGCCTCCCGAGTAGCTGGGATTATAGACACCTGCCACCACACCCGGCTAATTTTTTTAGTAGAGACAGGGTTTCAACATGTTGGCCATGCTGATCTCAAACTCCTGACCTCAGGTGATCCACCCGCCTTGGCTTCCCAAAGTGCTGAGATTACAGGCGTGAACCACTGTGCCCAGTTTACCTTTTTTTTTTTTTTACAAGACAGAATCTTGCTCTGTTGTCCAAGCTGGAGTGTAGTGGCGTGATATCGGCTCATTGCAACCTCTGCCTTCTGGGTTCAAGTGATTCTCCTGCCTCAGTCTCCCGAGTAGCTGGGATTATAGGTGCACGCCAACACACCAGGATATTTTGTATTTTTAGTAGAGACGAGGTTTCACTATGTTGGCCAGGCTGGTCTTGAACTCCTGACCTTGTGATCCACCTGCCTCTGCCTCCCAAAGTGCTGGGATTACAGATGTGAGCCACTGTGCCCAGACCACTTTTTTTTTTTTTTTTAAGATGGTCTCGCTCTGTTGCCAAGGCTAGAGTACAGTGGCATGATCATAGGTCACTGCAGCCTTGACTTCCCAGACTTAAGCAATCCTCCTAACTCAGCCCTCTCAAGTAGTTGGAACCACAGTCAGGTTCTCATTGTTTAAATTTTTGTAAAGACAGGGTCTCAATATATTGCCCAGTCTGACCTCAAATTCCTGAGCTCAAGCCATCTTCCTGCCTCAGCCTCCCAAAGTGCTGGGATTACAGGCATCAGCCACCACACTCGACCCCATCTTTTTCTTTAAAAAAAAGTTAGTGGCCAGGGGAGGTGACTCAGCCCTGTAATCCCAGCACTTTGGGAGCCCAAAGCAGATAAATCACCTGAGGTCAAGAGTTCGAGACTAGCCTTGTCAACATGGTGAAACCCCGTCTCTACTAAAAATACAAAAATTAGCCAGGCGTGGTGGCTCATGCCTGTAGTCCCAGCTACTTGGGACACTGAGGCACAAGATCACTTGAACCCAGGAGGTGGAGGTTGCAGTGAGTGGAGATCACACCACTGCACTCCAGCCTGGGCAACAGAGTTAGACTCAGTCTCAAAAAAAAAAAAAAAAAGTTTGCTGGCTGGGTGCGGTGGCTCACACCTGTAATCCCAGCACTTTGGGAGGCCGAGGCAGGTGAATCCCAAGGTCAGGAGTTCGAGACCAGCCTGGCCAATATGGCGAAACTCTGACTCTACTAAAAATACAAAAAATAGCTAGGCATAGTGGCACATGCCTGTAGTTCCAGCACTTGGGAGGCTGAGGCAGAAGAATCGCTTGAACCCAGGAGGCAGACATTGCACTGAGCCAAGATCATGCCACTGCACTCCAGCCTGGGCCACAGAGTGAGACTCTGTCTCAAAAAAAAAAAAAAAATGTTTGCTGGGCCTGTGTGTCAGTGTATGCCAGTTGCCCAAGCTACTCAGGAGGCTGAGGTGGGAGGATCACTTGAGTTCAGGAGGTCAAGGCGGCCATGAGCCAAGATTATGCCACTGAACTCCAGCCTGGGTGACAGAGCGAGACCCTGTCTCAAGAAGAAAAAAAAAAAAAGCTTCCTGACCTTTGGTTTATACAATTCACCTAGTTCTTCAAATCTTGACATCTGCTTTGTGCCTAATTCTGGACTGAGCAGTACGGAAAGGCCCAGCCCTCAAAAAGCCCCATGTGGGAGAGGAGAGATGATCACAGCACAGGGTGATAACTGCCATATTAGGGGTCATAGCCCAGGAATGGTCACAGAGGGGCCCCATGTCTGCCACAGCACTCAGTGCAGATCCAGTTAGAGAAAGATGTCCTTCCGATGGCCCTGGCACTGCTGGACCCCTCAGCCCACTCTGAGTCAGCTGGAGAAGTCCAGGGTGTATAACTGTACCCTTCTGTTATCTCTTCCCATTGCTCTCCAGGCTCATCCCTACTGGAAGGGCAGTATGGAGCTGGAGCTGCTAGAAAAATGCAGGCAGAGGCTCCACAAGTTTTTCTTTTCTTCTCCCATCCCTCACCTGACCAGGCTCACTCTTCCAGGTACCCAGACCAATCAGGGGCATCTTCTGCCCAGTGTGCAGGAGAACACAGGAAACCGCCATTGCCCTCTGAAACACAGATGGGAAGAGAATGGTGTAGGGGTTAGTGCTGTTGTTCAGGTCTCAGATATCCACTCTCAAGAATACTGCAAAGCAGCCAGGTGCAGTGGCTCACACCTGTAATCCCAGCACTTTGGGAGGCTGAGGCAGGCAGATCACCTGAGGTCAAGAGTTCAAGACCAGCTGGGCCAACATGGTGAAACCCCATCTCTACTAAAAATACAAATATTAGCTGGGCATGGTGGCACACACCTGTAGTCCAAGATACTGGGGAGGCTGAAGCACAAGAATCGCTTGAACCTGGGAGGCGGAGGTTGCAGTGAGCCAAGATCACGTCACTGCACTCCAGCCTGGGCAACAGAGTAAGACTCTTGTCTCAAAAAGAATACTGCAAAGCATGGGCCAGGAAGGGGTGGGGAAGAGGGGACAGATGTGGAGGACAAACACGTGGTTATATATGTGCCTGTGAGCAAAGGCAGTAGAGACAGGGTGCCCAAAACCAACCATGGCCAGTAACTCCTGGACAAACACTAACCAGACCACCAGCCTGGCTGCCCTTCTTTGTGCCAAGCTAAAGACCTCTGTTAAAGACCTGTACTATCAGGGCAGCTGTGGTGGCTCACGCCTGTAATCCCAGCACCTGGGAAGCCGAGGTGGGCAGATCACCTGAGGTCAGGAGTTTGAGACCAGCCTGACCAACAGGGAGAAACCCCATCTCTACTAAAAATATATAAAATTGGGCCGGGCGCGGTGGCTCAAGCCTGTAATCCCAGCACTTTGGGAGGCCGAGGCGGGTGGATCACAAGGTCAAGAGATCAAGACCATCCTGGTCAACATAGTGAAACCCCGTCTCTACTAAAACTACAAAACATTAGCTGGGCATGGTGGCGCGTGCCTGTAGTCCCAGCGACTCAGGAGGCTGAGGCAGGAGAATTGCCTGAACCCAGGAGGCGGAGGTTGCGGTGAGCC